AGACAGCCTGTTTTTTTCCCAAGTAGATTACCATCTTTCTTTAACAGGATAATCAGAGTTTGTATTTTTTGAAAACTGTAGAGACGATCTATTTTATGCCAGGACATGTCAGCGGATGAATACACCATTATGGCAGAGCAGAGGAAGAATTGGGCTGTGGGGTAAAACAGTGGCATGCTGAGTCAACGTTGTCAGGCTAATCTGTAAACGCAGCCCCCTCTGCCCCACAGAGTAATGGTTAACCGTGGGAAGTCTGGTGTCAGGGTAAGTATGCAGGCCGGGCACGGTTGTGGACAGTTGCAGTGGGTTTTAGGGTGCCTTGGCGTGACAGGGTCAGTCAGGCGGATGAAGCGGGTGTTGTTGTAGTTGTGATAGTGAAAAAAGCCCTGTAAAAGCAGCTCCCAGCTTTGCTGACTGGGAGAAGTGTTGGGGCTGCTCTCCCACCGCAGAGAGCAGAAAAAAGACCACTTTTTTTGTCTTTGCTGTGCTTGGATTTCTTCAACGATTAGCTTCCTGTCTGACTGACAGATTAGGTCTTTCTATGGACCTCTGACTCTCAGTCTAAGCCCAGGAAAATAATTTTTCATTTCCATCTTGAGTTACAGCTAATGTCGGGTCAAACACCTAACAAACATCAGTCATACAAAAAATATATATATATATTATCTATCATATCTGTTAAATATACAGAACAACATGCTTTGTTTCGCTTGGTTGGCAGCATGTAGATGACATTTTTAGGCTATTTATAGATGGTCAATTCCTTTGTATGAAATATTGTGGTAAGAAGTTTTGCTGGAAGACACATTTCCTTCCTCTTCAGGCTTGACATTTTTGTCAGCATGTTTTGTCAAAACCCAGATGGGCTTTCATGATGTAGAACTTAACTTTTATGAATTCATATTTTCTGGTATTTTTTATTTGGATTCAATCTCTTGGTTACAAACTGATACTTTTTTCTACATGTTTTCTTTTTTACTCCTTTCTCAGCATTTATTTAGGAGGTTTGTCTTGTTTCTGCTAACAATGACTTTTCTAACTAGGTCCAATATTCCAATATTCTCAACAATGGAGAATGAAATTGTTTTAATTTGTTTTAGGCATCTAACATGAAGGCATACAATTAATATCAAATTCACACCATATCAGTGTTAACCAATGAAACTCACGCACATAATAATAAATCTTATAGAGGGTTATAGCAAAGTAAATGAACACTAACACATTAATATAAAGTTGACCAAATATAAAAAAGCGCTCTAAAAAGCTTTGCAGCCTGATTACGGCAAAACATACTGGTGGCATTTTTAGAAGAATTTTCAAAACTTCTAAATGTTCCAGGTCAAGTTCATAAATCTAAAAAGTAAGATTTAACAATAAACAAACCATTGAGGTGTTTCCAACAGGCAATGTTTAAGTGTTGACATATTTGGAAAAACTTGAAATGAACAGTCTAGTTTTTTGATTACCGTAAAAACAAGAAACTGAGTAACATGCTGATTAGTATTGGAAGTGACAATGCTTAGTGGAAAAAATCCAACTACTGAAGAAAAGCACATTGAAGCTCATGCAACAACTTCTGACAAGAATTACAACAAGCAAATAAAATGTACAACATAGTCTATAGAATCGGTGACAAAGGGCAACGTTGGCAAAGTCCAACTCTCACCGGAAACATTTCAGACTTACTGCATGCATGTGAAAACTGGTTGAGCGAACTCCCATGCACCCTCCAGGACCCTGCTGAGGTTGTAAAGGTGATACAGTGTTCCACAGCAAGAAGTGAGGAGTTCTGGATATGTCCCACTGGGAGGAGACCCAGAGGGAGACCCTGCACATGCTGGAGGGTCTATGTTTCTCAGCTGCCCTGGGAACATGTTGGGGTTCCCACAGAGGAACTGGCCCAAGTGACTAGGGAAAGCGGTGTCTGGGCCTCCATACTGAAGCTGCTACCCCCCAACCCAACTCCAGATTAGCGGAATTGGATGGATGGATGGATGGATGGATGGATGGATGGATGGATGGATGGATGGACGGACATAGCCTATAGACCAGGGGTGGGCAATTCATTTTTAAAAGGGGCCACACAAGAAAACTGACTTGTGTTGGAGGGCCAAACCAACAATAACATGAGCTTAATTCTGCCCAGTATTAATTTTTCCTATTGTAAAAAACATAGAATTTAATAGAATTTAATGGAAACAATAATTGCATCAGTGTTTCATTTTATTTTTAACACGTTAATTTTCCCAAATACTGAAAGTGTTTTACAGTATATTTAAGATAAGCAACTGTCAACTTCATGCAAAAAGCAATAAATGCTTTTCATGTTTTACAGTTCATTTTACATGCTCAGTGGGAAAAATCCAGCCACAACACTTCCTGATGTATAATACAATGCAAAAATGTCAATTTCTGATCAGGGTTAATTTCTGTCACTTTATCCTGCATTCTCTTCAAAAGTCCAACATTTTTCCCAGTCAGATTTGGACAACCATCTGTTGTCACACATGCCAGCTTGTCCAATTTTAGTTCCAACTTGTCCAAACACGCATTTACAGTACCTCCGTGAATAAATCACTCCCGGTTGTTGTCCCTTTCATTGACTGCATGGCTGCCAGCTCCTCCGTGATTTTAAAGTCTGCAGATATCCCACGTATGAAAATAAGTAACTGGGCAGTGTCACTTACATTGCAGCTTTCATCCAAAGCAAGGGAAAATTTGTCGAAGCTGACCGCTCTGTTCTTCAGCTGAAGTTCCAGATTCCCCGCAATGTCCTCCACCCTCCTCATTACAGTCCGTCGTGAGAGAGGCACGTTCTCAAAAGCTCCCTTTTTCTCCGGGCATATTAGGGCAGCACAGTCCAACAAACACTCTTTAATAAACTCCCCGTCAGAAAACGGCTTACTTTTTCTAGCGATTTTGTGGGATATGACATAACTTGCTTGACAGCTGCATCTCTGGATGTGCAAAGTTTTGTAAAAAGTCCTTGTTGGTTTTGCAGCTTAGCTAGCAAAGCATCCGACTCCTTTGCGCGCTCGTGGTCAGACGAGTTCTTGTATTTCTCCTCATGTTTGGTCACGTGGCGCTTCAAATTGTAATCCTTAAGCACGGCGACCTGTACACCACAAACTAAGCACACGGCTTTACCTTTGACTTCTGTAAATAAATATTTAGCAGTCCATGTCTTGTTGAAAACGTTGCATTCTGTGTCGATTTTCCTCTTTTTGCCGTGGGCTGACATGTTGAGGGCGAGCTTACCAGCATCACTTTTTTTTTCTTACAAGCATCACCTGTCGCCGTTCACTTACGCATGTGCGTCACTACGTAAACACAAAAAAAAAAAGCAATGGCAGTCTTTTCAAAATAAAAGTAATACTGCCGTATTTCATGCTCAGATTAAATAGGCCTATTTTTTGATTTATGTTTTAATTTACTTGACTTCATGCGGGCCAGACAGGGACAGCCAACGGGCCGGATGTGGCCCGCGGGCCGTAAAATGCCCAGGTCTGCTATAGACCTTAACTGAGATAAATTTATGTTATTGCACATATTTTTTTGGTTATGCATTCTTGCTCATAAAAACAAAAAACCCCACCAAGATCTTACTTTGGAGCCACAGGATTTGAATCTGTTTTCCAAAATATAGTACTAAAGAAGCAGCTGAAGGAAACATTTACAGGGAAATATAGTCTTACATTTTTGGCTAAATCTAAATAAACTGGAATGAATTAAGCCTAGAATTAATTAATTAAGCCTAGAATAAAACTGTATGATAAGTTTTTTTTTTTTTTTTTTCAATTTGACAGAGCAGAGCAACATAGACTTTGAACTAGTCATTCTTGAAGCTTTAGTTTCACAAACTGAAACTAAAGTTGCAGGAACTTAATTGAAGAAAATAAAAAATGTGTGGGAAAAATTAAAATCAGAGAGCACAAACTTAAAGGTTTTTTAAGTTTTTAATATAGTTTTTCCATTGAAGAATACCCCAAAAAATAATTTCAGAGATGAATGTGAGTATTTTCTACATTTCAGTAGGAGTGTTCAATAGTTATTCCAGTAAATTAAACTAAATTTTATTCATTGACCCTTGACACCTTCAGCCTATTTATACTGTATGTGTGAGGATTACATAAATGGTTAACACAGCTCTTTTCAACTTCATGTATAAAAAAAATAGGTTTTCAAAAATGTTTTTAATGTCATCAGTTTGGACTTTAAAGACATGCCAGTCCAATAGAGGGATGGTGTTTTTTGTTCCTAGATGTTTTTTTCTCTGTAAAGAGAGTACAGTGAGAAACCATGTCACTGCTACAGTATATCCAAACACTGAAACATATTTTGCAACGCCCGACTTAGACGGCCCACCTAGTGTAATAGACAAGAAGAAATAAAAAAATAAAAAAGTTAAACATTCGGAAATGTGAAAAATATAGAGTACCCTTAGAAAAAAAAAATATACATGGAAATCTAGTCTGTTGTGTCTAAATAAAGAGCAACTAGTGCAAGTCCTTCAAACATTTTTACCATTTCTGAAATTGGTATGCTTTACCTGCACAATATCCAGGCAAATACCTCTGTTAGACATTAACTTTCTACTTGGAGGAGTGTGTGTGTACGACTTTATTATTTTGCAGTGTCATTCCATACAGGTTGGAAACAGGATAATTGGATTCTGTTAGTCTCTCTAACCTGGACCACATGTGACTGCAGGGTATTAAAGTTTCATAAATGAACAATTGGACTGCCTGTTTGAAATCCCACATATCAAACTCTATCCGTTATTAATGTTTTAAGTGTGCACACATGAGTGCTTTGGATTCCCCTAACTTGAAAATGCTGCAATTTAAGTACAAACCATTTACCATTATCTGTCAACCATTGCTTAAACTGGAGAAATGATAACATAACCAATGTTTCCTGGGTTTTAGCTGACGTTTCTCCATGGACATATTTTTATAGCACACTGAATTTTCTGTCTCATTTTCTGTCTCATGCAGGCACAGAAATCATGGATAGAAAGGGCATTCAGCAAGAGAGAATGTGTTCATATCATCGCGAGCACCAAAGACCCCCATAGGTGAGTACAGATGTTTTTATAGCTCAAATTTATGTTTTATTTCAGCCAGTTTAGGTCATTTGGATTTGTTTGACCTTTTTCTGACTCAAATCAATAGAAACCTTTTTTTTTTTTTTTTCAAAAGTAAGGGTTGTGCAGATTTAGTGCTTCATGGGAAACTTTTGAGTGTAAGTTTATGATGGGTATGGTGACATCTTGACACTTATACAATAATTATAGATTTTTTTATTAATTTTGCAAGTTATTTGTTCAACAATGCTGTCAAATAGAAGATACATAAGAGCCTCTGCAGGGTCATCTAAAGCTGATCTTATTGAACTTGTCAAATCAGCCCTTAAATGCCAACATCAGACAAAAGTTAGCGTTATACTGTACATACACACACACAACCCCTCAACATGAAAGGTGAGTGTGTGGGAAGAATCCACAATTTCAGGGTCCTGGGAGTCCAGTTCTGATGACCTCTCCTGGACTTTTAACACCTAAGCTGTTATCAAGAAGGTCTAACAGCATCATCTAGACTTCCTTCAAATTCTCAAGAGGCACAACATAGGCAAGAAGCTGCTGCTGGCCTTTTAATGCTTGTCCATTGAGACCCTGCTGATGTACTGCGTTTCCACCTAATACAGGAACTGCACTAAGGCAGACAGAGTGAGGCTTCAGAGGACGCTCAGTGCAGAAGAGAGGATTGATAGCTACCCTCTCCCCTCCCTCACAGGCATATGCAGCTTGCAGGGCCTCACCAGAGCTCACAAAATCATCATGGACAGTTCAGCTGTTGAAGCTAGTGCCTTCTGGGAGACATTATAGATACATCAAATCTAGGGCAAACAGACTGAGAAATAGTGTCTTTATGAGAGCCATCATGAAATCCCATGCTGCTCTTATCTACTGTACCTCCACAGGATTACTCCATACATTTACAGTAATATGATTTTTTGTGAATGTAAGCACATAACTAATATCCCATGCAATATGTTTTAATCCCTTATCTTTACATACTGTATCTATCTTAGTTTTATGTTTAACTGGGAAATGTTTAACTTCATTTGGAAATAGTATTTTTGGTAGTAATTTCATTTGTCAGTACAGTAAATACTGTAAGCTCTCTGATCTCATTGTACATTGTATAACAACAATAAAGAGCATTGGACTTACTTTGAAAAGCAATTACTATTATTACAAAGCTAAAGGACGATTCAGCTTAAAGATCTAAAAATGAAGACGGCGACATTGTTCTGCCTAATTTTTACTGCTTAATGCTGCTTTTCCAAATGTCTAAGATGATTAGCTCTTCTAAACAAAGTCTGTATAATAGTGAGACTGCAGAAAGCAAAGCAGTTAGAAGAATTAGCAAAGCAGTTAGCACTTTGAGTGGTTGCATGTTGGTTATCTGTGGTAAAAAAAATAATAATAAAAAAAAACAGCTCTGTGGTTAAGCCGATTTTAATAAGCTCCACACAAACTAAAATATACACAAAAACCGTAAAGACTGTTGATTAAAAAAAACACATTAGCAAGATTACACCAATCAACTGAATGCAAAAGATCAAGATAGAAATGAAAAGAGATGTTTTTGTATTAAAAGCATTAATAGTTTGTTCATGCTCTTGGCAGAGGAAGGAAAAGAGAAAACATTCAGTGAGAGAAGAAAGAGAAATGAAGTCAGAATCAAAGCCTCCTATGTCTCTTCATCCAGTGACTTTTATTTTGCCATAATCATAAAATTGAAAAGCTTGGGTTTTAGGGTGCCTTGGCCCATTCAGGAATCACACGATTCCCGACTGTCATTCTGCCAAGTTACTGAAATGCAGAAGAAGGCCAGAACAAATAGAAAAAAACAGTTGTTTTAAGAGGAGCGAACAAAAGGGGACAGAGTCTATGAGCTGCTGCACAGGCCTGCAAATCCTTCATCTCTCCTCCTCCCTATAAGAAGATGAAAGCGAGATGACAAGCTGCCACTTCAGCCTTCTCCCCCTCTTACACCCGATTATGGCAGCTTTTCACACTCTTTTCTCTGTCACTGTCTATCACAGTCTCTCTTCTCATTCGTACTGTTACAGCCGCTTTGCCTAGGGATCACACTTCACAACATTTCAATTATTTCAAGTAAAGCCCTGTGAAATACGTCGATCTTTACCCGGCTCTTACCTTTTTTTCCTTCCTGTCCAGGTGCTGTTGTGGTCGTCTCATAGGTCAGCATGTGGGTTTGCCGCCCGGCATCTCATCGAGCCAAAATGACAAGGCAGAGCGTTTGGGCAAGAATGACAGCCTGTCAGAGAAGTGGTCAATCAGCAAGCACACACAGCTCAGCCCCACTGATGCCTTCGGTACCATCGAGTTCCAGGGAGGAGGACACTCCAACAAAGCCATGGTGACTCCTGCATGTTAAGAGCTGCAATTTAGGGATGCAGCAAGATCCTTTGCAACAAAAGTAGTCAAAACTTAGCAAGTTGCTCATCTTAAAACTGTCAAAAAGAGCTATGGAGATTTACCCATATTTTCAAAATATCTTTATGCCCATATGGCTATGTGCCTTCTACAGGTCAAAAGTCAGATTTGGATTGGAATCCTAAGATGCAATAAATCATGTTAATGACATTCACTTGTGTTGTGCAAAATGCAGACAGAGTAACTCTGACAGCAGGTGGATGATGATGTCTACGTTTGTGACTGATTTACTGATTAAGACTCATTACAGTACAACAATAAAAAACAACTGCAAAGATTCCTGGACTATATTCTAAAATATTTATCAACTGGATAAAGCCATCTTAACAGTGAATGCATGAAGCCATACAGGCACGTTTATGCACTATTAGGTTGAAAATAAATGAAGATTTTAAAATTAGCAAGCCTTTTGCATTATAGGTTTAGGTGGTGATGGTATCAACGGGATAAAGAAGCAAAAGAATCTATTTCTGTTCTGTTTCAAAACAGATTATAAATAGACTCTAGGTTGGCAGCAAAGGCAAAGAGAAGATAATGGTAGATGTGCGTGGGTATGTGAAAGGAATTGTCCTGGAAAGTAGTCACATGAAAGCTGTGCTAGATAAATATAGATACACCTTGTTGGATGGTTTCGATGGATAATATTGTTTATGATTGTTGAAAGCAAAAGATCTCATAACAAGACGTAATCCACCTAAGCCTGCAGTTTTCTGTAAATGACTCAATTTAACAAGATTACTGTATGAGTGAGTTCTCAACAGGAAAATTCCTAACACAAAAAATTCATTAGGCCCATGGAATTATGATAGGAATGTATAAAGACTTGTTGTTTTTAAGCAAAATAATATCTCAGATAACTATGAGATGACAAAATTTGGTCAATCCATTTTAGTAAGTAGTTTGGAGTTGAATTAGGGTAGGTAGGGTGACCAGACGACTTCCTTTTCCCAGACATGTCCTACTTTTCATACCTATAAAAATGTCGAAACACACTGGGCACTCGAACCGAGCAGTCACCTCCAGGGCTGGTCCAGACAGGGCTAGGGAGCCAGCGGAGGACGGAACGACTGAACCCAACTCCGGGATGGTACCCTGGACATCGGCTGCCCCGTGCTTCCCCCCGCCTGCCTTACCGCTCCCCAGCCCTCCTCTTCCTCTCTGTTGAGGTCTGGTCCAGTCAGCGGCGCAGCAGTCGATGCTTCATACCCCCCCAAAAAAGAACAAGTGTCCTCCTTTTCAGAAACCCAATTCTGGTCATCATAGGGTTAGGTCATCTCCTGAGCTGATTCTTCATGATACAACTTTTTCTTCAAACAAAAACTAAGTCTATTTACAGGACAAAGTACTCTAACTGTTTGAGACATTTGACAGCTATAAAGCTCGGCATACACTGCGCGATTTTTGTCAATTGTTGCATGCAGCTACAGCTGTGCAGGTTTCCGTCGTACAGTGGGTGTTCACAGCTCACAATGTATGTTCTCACACTGTGTGGCCCGACGCTCTGATGCGATCCACCTGATGACACTGTACGTCTAAAAACGCAGTGAGATGGTGCTACTGGGACTCAGCTATCCGGAAGCCAAACAAGCAGAAGAAGAATATGAAGCTCAATAGAATGAAACGTGCTGCCTTGGCAATTAGTGCAATTTTTGTGCTGAAAGCCCTAAAAAGAAAAGGCAACGACTTATTTGGACAAAGACATGGCTGAGCAAATGTGGCTACTACGGTCTGTCAATCTTACTGAAAGAATTCCATTTTCTCCCATGCCTCTGTGTTTTTGTCTGAGAGGAAGAGGAAGAAGAGTCCTTTTCTGCGCATGCCCACTGAGCGATTTGCCCACAACCACCTTACGACGGCCGACTGAATTTGAAACATGTTTGATTTTCTCCCAACCTTACAGATCGGTCCGAAAAGGGAAAAAAATCGTACAGTGATGCCCAGCTTAAGTCTTACTGTTTTTCAAACATACCAGGAAGTCGTGCAATTGCTTTTGATGAAGTGACTATTTTAGGTCCTGGCAAAGGTTTTCATTTATATTTAGGTTTAGACTTTGACTGTCTTAATCTATTACAGTACATCTATTTACAGCCTCCAACAGGTTTATTCATCCATTCAGGACAAAAAGTTTGAACCCTGGCCCTTAGGGTCAGCTTGTTTTAGATGCCACACAACTGAATTACATGAATGGGTCATTAACAAGCCTCTGTGGCACAATGATATATACCAAGGATCGCTTCAATCTTGAGGACTAGGATTGGAATCAGAATCTTTATATATATGTTATAGAATCTTTGGCAAACTGCGAATTGGATTTGTGGCTTTTTTTTTAACAATAGGTTTTATCTATATATTGTTTGATTTGTCATATCTATTTTATCTTTTTTTTTTTTGTAAAGGCCAGACTGTTTGTGAGCACATAGTTGTCCTTTTAACAGATTTTCCCACTGTGCTGCTGAATTCTGCAGCTGCACCAGAGTATCATTGTCTACTTAGATGCTACTATGGTTAACTTTTTACATGGAACACCATGTCTAGGAAGTTCTGCACTTTTCTTTTCATTTTGTGATAATGCACTAAACAACATTGTGCAAATTGTACTTAGGTCATCACATAATGTTCTGCTCACTTTTGTCAGAGGCCACTGGTTTCATGGAAATTCATTTAAAGATAATAGATCAATCATGGCTAAAACACAATTCAGTTTTACAATTGAAAAAAAACATTCTACATTCCAATTCATCTTTTTATTTCCACATCTAAAGTTTGCATTAATTATATAAAAATAATGACAGTTAAAGGGATGGCATTGCTTACAGACAGCTTTTTGTGTTTACTAACTCCAGATCTATTTTGCTCTATTTACAGTATGTGCGGGTGTCTTATGACACCAAGCCTGACCTGCTGCTCCACCTGATGACGAAGGAGTGGCAGCTAGAGCTCCCTAAGCTGCTCATCTCAGTTCATGGAGGCCTTCAAAACTTTGAGTTACAGCCTAAGCTCAAGCAGGTCTTTGGCAAAGGGCTTATCAAGGCAGCAATGACTACAGGGGCTTGGATATTTACTGGAGGCGTTAATACAGGTAAAAAAATAAAGAAATGAACAAAACACTGTGATATTTTATATTTCTCAAGACATACTGAAAGTTCTTTCCCTTTTTTACAACATCCATAATAGAGGAAAAAGAAAAGGAAGTGAAAACAACACATCAACCTCATATTGAATCTTACTTGCACTGTGCAGGCAAATACTGGTTTTACAAATGAAGTGGGCACTTCAAACAGGAGTATGATGAGTATGTGGAAACGTTTCACATGAATGATTAGCTATTAAAGAGCTCTTTGTCAAGCCAGTATGGGCTCTCAGGATGATGAACCACTGGATCCAGGTCAAATTACTCAGTGGGCGGTTTGCAGTTCATGTTCACTCAACTCAAATTACACACACTTAAAGTAGCACCAGACACATGGAGATATGCCAGTGATTTATTAATTACAGGACACTGAATTACACTGATGTCAAACAGACTGAAAGGCTTCTTTTAAATCAACTTCATGTGGCAGGCCATGGAATACTAACTGTTCTTTATGTGGTTTCAGGCATGCCAGACATATCTGTAGAGGATACATCTTTACACCTTTAATCATTTATAAAAATTTGCTCTAACAGAATTTTAAGCTGGTCAATATATATCGGCGCTGTTTAGAGAGGATGCAACACAGCAGTAAATATGCCCATTTTTAGCTTACTGGCATCTCCTTTGAAGAACGTGATGTTTTAAGGTGTACAAATGTTTCTTCATGGATTATAAAATTATTCTGCATTTCACATTGAGGCTGCTTTATCCAAAATGAGAATTTGTGCGTTTTTTTCAGAGTCATTACCCTGTTAGGAAATCCAATCGTATCTAAATTTTAACTTTTAGCTCCGCTTAGGGAGTTCTTTTTTTAATTTTAAAATAAATACTGGAGACAAAATAGTATAATAGATCATTCAAAAAGCATAAATCTTTCTAAAAAGTCAATCTAAGACCTAATTATAATATATGGATGACACAAGTTAACACTTAAAACTCTGAAATATGTTTGTTGTATTAAAACACAAAAATAAATCTAATTAAAGGTCCAAAATTAAAATTAAAGTAATTTTGATGATGGTTATAATGACACTTGGAAAGATGTAATGTTTTGCCCTTCTGCTCAAAAGCATATCAATTAGGAAGTATTATTGACATATTTGAGAAATATTTAGATTCACACTTACCTCTATTTACCTCTAGTACATCAGATTACTTGAACGTCTGTTTTTACTGCTTTTGAGTTACTCAACAATGTTATTTTCAGTAAATACAGATTTCTATAAGAAAAGCAGCCAGGGTTGCAATCTTTAATACAACAAATTAAAATGCTCAAATAGAAAACATTACAGTATTGAGAGATACAGGATTTCCACAATTGAATACAAAAAGGAATAGAGTGTAAGATTTAGTGACAGATTGGGTACAGAGGCAAGAGAGCTTGAATAATGGATGGAAGTCTGTACTCGATGGACAGTGGGTGGAGGTGGAGAAAGAATGAATGTCAGCTGGAGAAATGTGATAAGATGGCCTCCGGGCATGACTGCTGCTCCCCTGAGGATGACACCTAGATGCTTTAAGAAGTGTTTGCGTATGGCTTCATGTGGGTGTCTATTCATCTTTTGCTCCTAAAAGATTCTGTCAAAATATCATGGCAGAGTGCATGGTCATGACATTAAGCTGTTAATTGATTGTGACAATATTGTTCCCTTTATTTCTGTCTCTGAATCTTTCAATCAAAGGTGTGATCCGCCACGTGGGGGACGCGCTAAAAGACCATGCCTCCAAATCAAGGGGCAAAATCTGCACTATTGGTATAGCTCCATGGGGCATCGTGGAAAATCAGGAGGACCTTGTTGGCAAAGATGTAAGTCTCAGCCAAGCGTCTTTACTCATTAGGAACTTGTATGCTTTAGAACTCATTTGAGTGGCTGCTCTATAAACAAAATGTGTAAACTGTCTCTCACCAATTGACAGGTTGCAAAATGCTCACAGTTCATAGTTTTGTTTAATATATTTTTTTTTTTGGGATCCCTATTAGCTCCTGTACCTATTAGACCTTTGCCCTAGGGTTCAGCCTATTAGCGGAGCTGCAGAGTTAGGCAATGACATTCCTGATAAACACTTTCTCAGTGAGTTGCACAATTGGCAGATCCTAATAAGACCGCAGAGTTCCTGCTGACTCTTTGAGATATCTGGGAGTCACCGTTATATTCTCCCTATGATTTCATCAGAATGTGCCACACTGGGTCCTGCTGAACAAGTCAAGCAGAGCCAATTAATGTCAGCGACTGAAATAGGATGATCGAATGCTGGGGGACTTATTTTCTCACTTGATTAGTCTTAACTGTGAGCCTAATGATGAGAATACATTACCTCATATCCTTTGGCATCGCTTCAGTTCACCATGCGCTAGCTTCTGGGAAACTCACCCTTTATGGATATCAGCAGTTTTCAAGGCGATTTGTTTTTGTTTTAGAAGCTTTTAAACGCATGAACAGTGTAAAACAATTCATAAGACGATTGTATTAGGAATTGGTTCAGATTTAGCATCTAACTGTAGAAAGGATTCAGTCTAAGAGTTAATATAGGGAGCTCGGCCTGCAACCTGATCCTATGGATGGATGGATGGATGGATGGATGGATGGATGGATGGATG